AAAAAAACAAAATAAAAAAAATTAAGTGAAGTGGGAAAGATACCTGCTTTTTGAGGCAAAGCAATCCAGTTGCCGCCGATGCCATGGGTCTCAACGTAGCGTTTGAGGGTGGCGTCTTCTTCTGGGGACCAAGGTCCTCTCTTGACGTTAGCTTTGTCACAGCATGGAGCTCTTCCCATGATCCCTGCAAGCTAGTTCTCTCTTGCAGTGATGTCCTTGTGAACCAAACGAGGGCAGAAAGAAAAGGACAGACAGAGAAATGGGGAGAAGAAAACTAAGACACGCAACGCAAAGAAGAGGTTTAGGTGCGTAAAAAGAGCGGAATTAGTATACATAAGCATCCAGCGTGTAAAAAAAGGACATGTTGGCATGTGCTAAACGGAGATCGTGACGGTGATGACGTCATCTATTAGATAATGATTGATTTGGGTAAATCGATACTTTTAGGGTGTCATTTGTCCTGCTTTTTTTTTAAGGGTGGATTCATCCCTACCCATATTTGTCAAGGGGTGATTTGAGAGTTCTGCCTTCTTATTTCATCCCAGTTCATTGGTTTTGTTTGTTTACGATTTAAAAAAAAAAAATTGCACTCACTCGTGCCAACCACAACTGGAGTGCAAGCTACACAATTTTTTTATTAACAAATCTAGCCACAAACATGAGTTATAAAAACTCAATGGCCGCAACAGCGACTTATTGATTTAAGTGAAAAAATTTAATTTTTTTAAAATAAAATCTTGAATTTAAAATTTATAAATGAAAAAACAAACGTTAGAAAAACTTTCTGGAGTTCGACCCGACTCCATTTCAAATTAATCAAAATCTAATGTGATTTTTAAATACCGATGGATTAATTAAATACCGAGGGATTAATCCAAAAAACCAAAAACAAACTAGATGGCAGCAATTCTGATTAAAAATGATTAAGAGACGGGATCGTTACATACTTGCATATCACTCACTTAATACCACACCCTAAAACAAGAGGCCTTTCAATTACCTGAAATTGATCACAAATTGTACATGCATGCTGTATCTAGTGCGGATACTTGACCTCCAGACTCAAATCCGGAGGTTGCAGATTTCTTAAAATATTGAGGTGCTATTTATTTACAAT